GGCAGGCCTGGCTTCAGGGGAGACGGGGGGGCAGCTCTTCCTTGTGCTCCTGCCTCCTTTGGCTACCTCCCCCAACTGCCTGCTTTCCCTGGCTTTTATCTGAGGCATCACTCTTGATCATGCCCAGCAGGGCTGTGGGGAGGGGGTCCACTCCGCCCCCAGGGCCAACTGAACTCCTTTAGCCGCAGTGCGGGGCAGTGCCACCTTGTCACACATGGGTTAAGAGACTAGGATGCAGAGGTTTAGGTTGTGACCTGGGGCAGGGGATGTGGGTGCAGGAAGGAGGACAGAGGGTTTGGATTGTGACATGGGGCAGGATCTGGGAGGGGATATGGAAGTGGGGGGCAGGCGGTTTGCGTTATGTGGGGTAGCAGGTGCAGGAGGAGGGGCAGAGGGTTTGGGTTGTGACATGGAGCAGAGGATTGGGGTGCAGGATCTGGAAGCGGATATAGGGGCAGGAGGTAGGGGCAGAGCATTTGGGTTGTGATCTGAGGCAGATTGGGGTGCAGGAAGGAGGCATGGGGTTTGTGTTATGTAGGGTAGGGGGGCAAAGGGTTGGGGTATCAGAGGCAGGCGCTGGCTGGGAGACTTACTTGCTTGACTCCCAGCCAGCAGTAGGAGGCATGGGGTTTGTGTTATGTAGGGTAGGGGGGCAAAGGGTTGGGGTATCAGAGGCAGGCGCTGGCTGGGAGACTTACTTGCTTGACTCCCAGCCAGCAGTCTTCTAAAGCAGACCTACCTGCCTGCCCCGCCCCTACACTTAGCTGCAGGACCATGTGGTTTCTGAACAGCTAGGAGCCTGAGGGGTGTGGGGAAGGGTGCCTTCCACTGAAACTGGCCAATGGTGGTATGCTGGGGGCAGGAGCAGCATGTGAAGGCTCACACTGTTCAAACAGAACCCTGCTGCAGCTTCTCTCAGTATCGTGGGGGGGCAGGCAGGGAATCTGGCAGCCCACGGAGCGTATTTTGCCCAGGCCTGGCATAGGCCATGTTTGATAGAGTTGGTGCTTAGTTTTTGGGGAATGAGAGATGGTTTATCAAGGCACTGTCCCTGGGCCTCATCTGGAGGTGGATAACCCACCACTGCCCATCCTGCTTTTTTGGGGGGGAGGGGGAAAGAGAGAAGGAATTGAGGGAGACTTACTGTGGGCTGAGGGGAGGAGAGGAACAGAAGCATGTGGGCCCTTTTTGCTAATGTGAGAGGTTGTGAAGCTTGTGTCTTGCACCTTCCACAGGAGGAGCTTGAGCTTTGCAGATATTTTGGAATTTAGGTCTGTAGTCATCCAAGAGACCCCACTCTAGCCCTCACCTCTCTCGGGTGGAGATCCATGTCTCTGGCCCTCCTGACTGGGATTTCTCTCAAGCCTGCATGATGATGTTTCCAACAAGCCAGGCTGCCTAGAAGGCCAGTATTTTGGCTCTCTCTTCTGAGGCTCTGAACAGTGGTATAGCCAGCAGTTGGGCATTACCACACAGCTCTTGGGAAGCAAGCACATTCATAAGCTGAAAGTATTCCAGAAAAAAAGCATTTTAAACCCCCTACACATATGCTAAAAAGTTTGAGCAATCACCCTGACACTGATAGGTGTCAGCCCTTCCACAGTGACCAGGGGCCTCTCTTGGACAGCAGGGCCAGTTCCTTTGCTGGATCAGGAGGAAGATCCCGAGTCAATACAAGTTTAGGCTATTTATCCAAAAGTCTCTTCTTTGTCTACTGGTCTGTGAAGAACCTTATTTGAACTAGTATTTGTGAGTTTTGGCAGGCAGTGATACCTTGGTAGGATTTGCCTTGATTTACCTTAATCCCGCACCCCCTGGGGTTAGTTCCTGGAGGCAAACACAAATCATACAGTCATTTAAAACAATGGATCCCTGAGGATACTGTATAGGAGTGCACTGTTTGTTACATCTCCCCCATAAGTTACATACTCTCCTGACCTACAGTAATACACAAACTTTATACAGCAGCATCTTTCAAGGATAGTGCAGGAAATGACCCTGAGACTCTACTTTTATAGATGGGGAAACTAAGGCAAGGTGCAGGGAAACTGAGGCAAACTGAGACTCTGTTCAGGGTCACAGAGCTAGTGCTAGAATCCTGGAGCCTTGAATCCCAGTCCTGTACTTTACCAATAAGCCCATCCTTTCTCCAAGAATCTGGCTAGAACCTAAGCATATGACCTCCCAGTTACTTGGGTGCACGCTGCATTCTCTACTGTGCAAATCCTGCCTCTCCTATGTCCCCTCCCACCTACCTCTCAAAAGCCTGCCCGCTTTGCAGTAACACAGTTGCCCACCTCATGCAATGCTTTTTTGCAAGGGCAATGACAAACATTTTGCATTGCTGCCTGGGCTCTCAGCAGCCTGGGCTCCCCCCACCCACTCGTATAGAGGACTGCACACTGATCAGCAATCAATAGGCATATTCGGGCTTCATCACATGGCAACAGCTGGGGCTCTGAAGGGAAATGGACACATCAAACCTGCAGTGTTGTTGTGGAGAAGCCACACACAGTTAACTCGCAACTGCCTGCCTCCAATTGTAACCTCTGGCCCCTCCTTGTAGACAGGCTTGTTTCTCTCCAGCTCTCTCCTGAGAAAGATAGGTGCTGATACTCACACCCTGCCTGCTTCTACAGGGTAGGCCCCTGCCAGGGGCGGCCTTAGACTAGCTGCCAGCAGCTGGCACCATAGACAAACCATGCAATCGGCACCCCCACCTCCAAACCCCTCAATTATATTGCACCACCATTTGGCACCCCATTTAACTTGGCGCCCTAGGCGACTGCCTAGTTCGCTTATATGGACAGGCCACCCCTGGCCCCTGCTGCCCTGAGCTGTGTGTGGGTTGTTGCTGAGGCCCCATTATCCAACTTCTGAGAGATTTCTTTGCCTCCCCCATTACCATAATATTCTGAGCACCTCACCATCTTTACTGTATTGATTCTCCCATACTGCGGAAAGGTTGAGCACTGATCTTAGCCCTGTGTCACACATGGGGAACTGAAGCAAAGAAAGGCTGAGGTTCAGTGATGTAAAGGTTCTAAAAATGCTGCGAGTGGCATTTATCCAAAGCAGCCAACCCCCGCTGACACCAGCTAGGCACCTCGCTGCAGTTTTAAGACCCAGAATAACTTTACAAACCCAGCTCTTAAGTGACTGCCCAAGGTCAGACAGGAAGGCCTCTTAGGTTCCCCTGAGACCCAGGTTAACACCTACCCATTTTGTCCTAGCTAGTTCACTGTTGTGATGCCTTCCTTTAACTTCATCTCAACAGCAGGCAGAAGGAGAGATTACAAAATGGGGCAAGAGCAGAGGCCAGGGCACTGATGGGCTCCAGCCACTTCACTGTGTAGCACACAGGAACACCTCAACATCTAGGTTGCGCTCAGAAGCCAGCAGCTCTCAGTTTCCCATTCAGTGTAGTCATGTGAAAAGGCTGGGGGGTGACAAGTGTAGCCAGCATAGATGCATTGTACTGTTGTGGCCCCACTAGTGCTGGTGGGAGTACCTAGGAAGGCAGTCCTGAGCCAGACTTGGAGCAGCCTGGGTATAAAAAACAGCCACACAGCAGCAAAGAAGTGAATGTGCTGATATTGCCATAGTGCCATGATGTCCAACACACTAGCCACATGTGGCTATTTGGCCGGTTGAGTGTGGCTAGTTCTGCTATAGCGAACTAGCCACACAACTGGTTGGACACCATGGCCATCGTGCCTTTCACACCAGCTGAGCTGTGGAGCTCTCCCCAGTATCAACTTGCCCAGCCTGGGCCTCCGACAGGCTCCTACCACAACCACATGGGAATGGATTGCTGTGTCCCACAACTCACCTAGCAGCTTGTCACTCCTGTCCCCTCTCTCCCCCTCCTCAAAGCCTTTCTCAAGTGCACAGTGCCCTGCAGCACACACAAGCCCTGCAAGGTAAGAGTTGAGCCTGCAGCCAGCCAAACCGTTAGGTACTGTAGAGCACTGCTGCCTCCTTGTGGCTCTTCTAGCTCTTGTAGTGTACTCACTCCCGTGTCCTGAGGGCTCGCTGCAGTGAGGGAAGGGTGAGCGCTCCATGCCACATCCAGATGCGGGTTCATTTTTCTAGTGGGGTTTGAAGCTCTCTAATGGCGATGTAAGGTTGAGCTCAGATGTGAAGGGGCACAGACCTGTTGGGTTTTACTCCGCCTGTCTCTGCAGCTGTTGACAGAAGAACTAGTTACAAGTGCCACAGGATTAGAGGGCAGGCCCCTGTTACTGCAAGGGCTTTCATCCTTTCTCACTGTAATTTCCTTCCACAATAGGGGGCTACAAAGACCTGGCTCAGCTTTGATTCCCTGTGGGAGCATATGCTTTGAAAATACCATCAGTGGGCAAGATTTCAGGGCTCTGCTCTGAGCAGCAGAGTGAGCTATGGAACACACAGGCCTCCTATATACTTGCACAAGATCCCGCTCTCTCCCATAAGGGCAGAACCAAGAACTACGCAGCCCATCCAGCCGCATAGCCAGCTCTGGGTCATAGATAGCAGAGACAGACAAGTAGAGTCTGGCTACATGGTCTTTGCTCAGACACCCTATCCAGAACCGGCTCCAAGACATGGAGTATTTGGTCTTGCCCCAGCTATCCGTGTCTTACCTTCTTTGGATAAATGCACATATATGATAAATTCTGGGGACACTTCTTGTCCCTTCCAAGCTGCATCCAGAAGCTCCTCTTAGGGGACTGTGGCTGGCTTCCTCTGATACCACTGTAGCCTGTGGTTTCCATCTGCAGCTCAGCAGGCACCTTAGTAGAGGGCAGCTCAGATGGCTGCTGCTAGCACAGCTGGCAGCTTCCAGCACAGCTGTCCCTTGCCATTGCTCTGCTGCGGAGATTCTACTGGATTCCAGGGCTCCCTTTGCGACATGTCTCTCCTTGTCTCCTCAATCAACCTCTCCCAGCCCATCCAATACCCTTCCCTGTCAGTGGGAGTAGGAATGACAGAGCCTCTTGCAGCTATGAGTTGTGCTATGTCTGTGAACTTTATAAAATTCTTCTCAAGACACTGGTACAAGCAATAGAAAGAATATCTGTTATACACAAATATACACCTCTGAATAAATACAGCCTCCAGCATGTGCTTCAGGAATGTACAGCTAGGAAGGGGAGGGCAAGTGATTTGAACATGCAGTAAGTGGACAAGCACAAGCAGCAGATAGAGCATGTGACACAGACACTCATGTAGATTCACTCGGGGTAGGATCCAAAACTCTTGAGCTGAAAAGTGGCATTGATAGGACTTGAGGGATATGACTGCACAATTGGGACAGGCCTGCTGGAGGCACGTGCACACACGCACACAGCATAAACATTCACCCAGTATGTGTGGTGTGTACGCAGACACAAACACATGCTCCATGCACGCATTGCACATGGCCCTCACATACAGGCAAACAATGCTTTTTCTCAGCGATGCCGCTGGAGTATCCTAGTCACATCTCTGTTTCTGCTAAGAGGTTCTCACCCAGACCTGATGTTACCAAGACCATCTGAGAGCTGGGATCTGTGGAGCAGGAGGAAGAGAGAACGTTAGACATTTGAGCTGGAGAAGAAAATAGGTGTGGACACTGGGCACACAGTCGAGAGTGAGAGAAGGGGACAAATGACAAGAGAGGCAGAGCAAATGAAGGCTAAGGAGGAGCATGGCTAAGATGAAAGGAGACAGAAGCCAGACACAGAATATAGTGTCTGGTAATCCTCATGAGGTTTAACCTCATTCAGACTGGAGGGGAATTTAGGGAAGCAGCCAACCATGATGTGATCTGGAATTTAACTGAGACACTAGGGCCAACTCCCCAAGTTTTATGAAAAGACACTTAGGATCTTTAATACCTGAAGCTAGCCTATATTCCAGCCCACAATGAGATGGGACCTTCTCCATTTACCAACCCCACAGTGATATACTCTTCGAAGCAAACACCCCAGAACCCTCATTCCTGCAAGCCTCCCCTGGCCAGCCTCCTCTCCATCTCTCGGGGGTCCCAGAGGTCTTACTGCTCTGGCAGATCCAGGGGTTCTTCTCCCTGGCTGTGACCTCTTGAGCTTCATTCTCCTCCTCTTCCTCACCCTCAGAGAGCAGGTCTGAGATCTGCTGCTGCAGCTCAGGACTGATACTATTCTCTGCCAGGATCAGTGTCCGCAAGGCTGTCGGGTAATTCTCCACCATGTCCAGTAAGGTCTGAGCAGAACGAGAGCAAGAAGCGGGTGGACAGTCAGCACAGACAGATTTCAGATGAATAGAAAAGGGGTTTAGAGCTGCTTTATACTCTCTTCATCCACCATAACGCCTGTCCTAGTTTTTTTTCCTTATCTGCCCTCTACTGGCCCCCTACAACATTTTAGGGACACTAAGGACTCTCCACCTTTTCCTGAGGAGAAGATGGGATTATTGCCAGGACTTTCTGGCTGTACCCAAGGAGGAAAGTACCACACACTCTGCTGTCTTCTACCTGCAAACACCCCCTGGCACCTCCAAGATTCTCTCAGAGAAGGACTGCAGGAAACCACTAGGAATAACTGCCCAACCCTTAAGCCCTATCTGCCCCTAAACTCCAATACTTATTTATAAACCTAGTTCCAGAAATCAAACCTTCTCCCTCATATTTCCAGAGACCCAGAGAAGCACAAAAATCTGCTCTGCCTCATTCACTAGAGTTGAGACAGAGCCAGGAGTCTCAGGCTAGGGTTAAGCAGCACCTCCAAGGGCTGAGAACCCCAGACCAAGGAAAGGAACAGATGGTAGCAGCACTTATAGGTGCAGAGACTGCTCTGAGAACATCCCATGATGGGGGAAAGGGAGGTGGAAGTAGGTATAGCTCCACTGTTTGTTGGAACTGATGTCCCGGAGGGGCAGATGATGCTGTATCAGCACCAGGCACTCCTTACCTGAGCTGACTGGTCGGTAAGTCCTGTTCCTTCTAGGTCCAGAACCTCCAGGGTACGACTGGAGGCCACAGCAACAGCCAGCATCCCTGCTACCTGGTCACCTGGAGGAGAAGAAAGCCAGGGCATGTCAGCACAGTCTGGCTTCACGTGCCATTGGGCCAGGAAGATCCTGGGACTACCCATCCAGGAGCCTACCCTGTCCCAGTGCTACCGGCTATGTGCCAAGAGCACCTTGGAGGAGGAGGTGAAGTTTTGTTGGTTGTGAAAAGAGAGAAGTTGTGGGGAACAGACTGTTAGTTGTGATTGGCTGATCTGGGAGTGAACACAGAGAACTTGAAGGAACATAGCAAAATTCTCTTTTACAAGAAGACTTTGTACATCAAAAGCACCTACCATCCACCCACCCAAGAGCCTTTTGTCATCATCAGTGGGGAAATGCAGAGATTAGCCCCAAGGTCAAAGACCAAGTCAGTAGTAGAAATCCTGGTTCCCTGCCTTCTGCTCTGACCACTAGCCTCCACTCCTTTTCAGAGCCAGAAATACAACCCAAGTCTTGGCTCCCAGGATTCTGCTCTGACCACTAGTCCTCACTACCTCTCAGACCCAGGAATAGATCTCAGGAGTCTATTATCCTAGCCAATGGGGATGGCTGCTTTGGTGCTGGCCCTGCTGGCAGCCAGTGCCTTTGAAGCACTCCTCAGGGAGGAGGCACCATGTTACCAATCACAGTCCTTTGAACTACCATGTTAGGGATTCTTAACACAGTAAGAGTATGCCAGGGTGGGGTGAGTGTTGGGGGGATGAGGCAGAGAGGGAAAGGAGACCTGCTTGACCTGGTTTCCTGGGGCAGGTAAGATGTGAAAGCCACATGGCCTGGTCCCTGCCTCATCAGCTGCTAATCCTGCTCCAGCAGCACAAACGGGAAGAGAATTGGTTTCCATGGCAACCATTGCCAGGCTCTTCTCCTCCATGCTTTATCTTCAGGGAAGACACTGGGGGGCGGAGGGACTCTTCCATCTGGCAGACCAGTGGCGGAGGCGGAGGGGATTTGGAATGGGAGGGAGTAGAGGAAGGTCTGAGCGGAGGACTGACAAACACATAGTCCGTGGGACAGGTGAAGCCCAGAGTCCCGGAGAAGGGATGGTCTTTCCTCCCTAGGTTGCCTGCAGCTGCCATCTCCTCTGTGAAACACATCTCATGCATTTCCCAGCAGAACACGTGTCATCACACAAACTACCAGCACAAGTGGGATTAACTGGCTCCCTCGTCTCAGCACAGAGGACTGAATGGGCTATGAAGAACGAACTCCCCTCTCACTAGGGTGACCAGATAACATGTATGAAAAATTGGGACACTTGTTTTTTGGGGGGATATAGTAATATATATAAGACAAAGCTCCTCATATCAGGACATCTGGTCATCCTACCCCTCACCTCCAGCCCAGGGCAGGAGAGACAGAGTTGTAGAAGTGACGCTGTGGAGCAGCCTGCCCTACTACAACTCTGTCTCTCCTGCCCTGGGCTGGAGGTGAGGGGTAGGATGACCAGATGTCCTGATATGAGGAGCTTTGTCTTATATATATTACTATATCCCCCCAAAAAACAAGTGTCCCAATTTTTCATACATGTTAGGAGCCTCTCATGCCTGTGCCACTCACCAAGGGGATTGTAGTCCAGGTTCAGCACTCGCACCTGGGAGCTGTGAGCCACCGCAATGGCCAGGCGCCCCCAACCTTTGGCTGTGACACCCGGGTTTGCGCTCAGAGTTAACTCTTTAAGGCCTGGAGAAGAGAGAGAAGCTTGGCTGTGACGCCCGGGTTTGCACTCAGAGTTAACTCTTTAAGGCCTGGAGAAGAGAGAGAAGCCAAAGAACACCCTAAGGACACAGACAAGTTAACAAACCTTCCAAAGGTAGTAAGACAAAGCTCCTCATATCAGGACATCTGGTCATCCTACCCCTCACCTCCAGCCCAGGGTAGGAGAGACAGAGTTGTAGAAGTGACGCTGTGGAGCAGCCTGCCCTACCAGTGCCCCGGAGGTCCCTGGTCTAGATTCAGTCTCCAGAGCTATCAAACAGCACCTTCAGCACTGTAAACTCGCACAAAGCCTGCCAAGCTAGTAGTTTGGAGCCTCTCATGCCTGTGCCACTCACCAAGGGGATTGTAGTCCAGGTTCAGCACTCGCACCTGGGAGCTGTGAGCCACCGCAATGGCCAGGCGCCCCCAACCTTTGGCTGTGACACCCGGGTTTGCGCTCAGAGTTAACTCTTTAAGGCCTGGAGAAGAGAGAGAAGCCAAAGAACACCCTAAGGACACAGACAAGTTAACAAACCTTCCAAAGGAGAACCTACTCAGCCAATCACACAGCAAGGAAGCGGCATGGATTGGTGTTTCACAATTCCCTGCATCCTTACTGGTAGACAGGGTATGATTTACAGAATGATTATAATTAATCATCTGATTAGCACTACTGCCTGCAGTGCTGCCCCTTCATTTGCTCACAAGAAGCAGGGCTACCTGACACCTGCCTACCCCAGTCAGCAAATACAATGGAATCAATCTCAGCATGGGAGGGGAGATGGGCAGGACAGACAGGCACTGAAGTTTGAGTTCCAGGAGGGGTAGCTGCTGTGTCTATTGGGAAGCCTGTGGTTAGTAGCTGGTTAGGATGTTGGGGAGAGGGTCTGGAGACAGAGCCCAGGCCTCAGACCTCATCCTCTTTCAAGTCAGCAAATAGTTATTCCCTTCCCTGTAAAAGAGCCACAAGAGCTCATTCACTGTTAATTTCCAGAGGAGCCAATGGGGTGCATTTACTGTAAATCCCACATTGATCTGCAGTCAGTGTAAATGTACCAATCACTGCTCGGGCTTCACGAGTGCAAAATATTAACACCCAATCAGAAGTCCAAGCCTTGCGCTGCCCTCTCCCCAGATTCGAATTCTCCTATCATGAAGTAGCAAACTGGCCACCATTCCCCACTAGTATGGAGCCAGTGGAACAGTCTGCTGTACCAGGAACCATGATCCATGGGACGCAGCTCCTCCCCTTAGAAGTGCACAAGGAGGAAGCAGAGTCTTCACCCAGTGCAATTGCTCCTATACTAAGGGACTGTTTAACTGCATTGATGCTGGGAGGAGAAACCTTGTGGCATGTCTCAGCAGAGGAAGCAGTATTGAGGAAAGGAAGTTTAGCTCTGAGCAAGAGGAGCCTGAGCCATATATGAGTTCCACTGGCCACTGAATGCACCCCGCAGACCCTTTTGCTTACCTGACTTGGCTCCATCGGGAGGCAGAAGCCCACAGATCAAATTGATGCCCTCGTCACCCAGCATGCAGTCCCCCAAGTCCAAAGCCACCAGTGAGGGATGGATGGAGAGTGCTGGATTGAGGAGAGCTAGGCCGGCATCTGTCAGGGGGCTCCCATGGAGGCTGCATAGGTAAAGGCTAGGAATTATTAATGTGCCTTCCTTAGGGTACAGGGGACTGGCTCAGCAGATGGGAACCAAGAAACAGGAAGAAGATAATTAATACCACTGCCTGGTAGGAGCAAAGTTCCAAAATGCCTAATGCTGTGTTCCTGAATGAGGGAGCTTAGAACAAACTGGGAAAAAGGGGATCTGGTGACAGATGGTAGAGAACAGATAGTTCTCTCTCAGCATGGGAGAGGAAGCAGGGCTGGGGACAAAAGGGATTTAGAAAACTCCCTCCTGCATGGGACAGATAGTGGTCTAGGGAATTAGGGATGGAGAGGCATCCCCCTTCCAATATAGGAGAGTATGGACGACGGGAGAGGGATTGCTTAAAGAATCTCTGTTCTGTTCACTCCCTCTGGAGCATCTGGCATTAGCCGCTGTCGGCAAGCAGGATACTAGGCTATATGGACCTTTGGTCTGAGTCAATGTAGAGTATATGCCAGGAAAATACAGATGGGAAAGATGCAGAGGTGACCTCCTCCCAGCATGGGATGAGGCACTTGATGCTTAAAATCAATAACTTTTCCCCCCCTTCAAATAAGAATGAATTTATAGGACTGCAAAGCAACAGAGGATGGGGTGAGTCAACCCTGTCAGACCAGGCAGTGGAGGCAAGCACATGTGCTCACTAGGGATATTTCCCTTCATGATGGTCACTCTTGGGGGAGGGGGGTGGCACATCTCCAAGGCACCAGCAAGGTCTCCCCTACTTACAACAGAGACTGGACAGAGCGGTTTGTCTTCAGGGCTTCCGCCAGTTGCTTGACTCGGTTGATGTTGGAGACAATCCCCAGGTTGAGATTGAGCTGAGCCAAGGAGTGAGATTCTGCTACCCCGCGGCAAATGCGCCCAAAATCCCGGTCAGAAAGCTGGCAGCCCCGGAGTGACAGCAGTCGCACTGAGTTCTCCCGCAGGCTCTCACAAATATCCCGGATCTCAGCACTTGATAAAGTCTCCCCAGAGATCTGGATAGACCCTGGCAACATTTTTTTAACAATTTTGGCAGAGAGCAAATACAATCAGACACTTGCAGAAGCTGCTGTGCAATCTGGATCTGTGCAGGTAAATAATGTGTAAATTGAATCTGGATCTGTGCAGGTGAATAGTGTGCAATCCAGATCAGTGCAGGTAAGTAGTGTGCAATCTGGATTAGTGCAATCAGTGCTGGGATCTGCTGTGCAAATCTAATTAGCTGTAAAGGATTTTGTGCAGTTTGGATTAGCTGAAGGCTATTGAGCAATCTGAATTGGTGCAGGTAAGTAATGTGCAATCTGGACCTGTGCAAGAGCTTCTGTACAATTCTAATCCCGGCAAGTAACTAGTGTGCAATCTGGAGCCCTGCAGGCGTGTTGTGCAATCGGGTCAGTGCAGCGCTGCTCTGCAACCTGGAGAGGTGCAAGGAAACTGTGTGCGATCCAGAGAGGCAGGAAAATAATCTCCAATCCTTGTAGCTGCTGCGAAATGCGATGCAGTTACGGGTAGAGTCAAGAGTGCAGTCCGGCTGGAGTACGATTCCCGGGATGGGAAAGAGGTGTGCAATCCGCAACGGAACGGGGTACCGTGCGATCCGGATGACCACGAAGGAGGGTCTATATCCAGACCGGATCGCCGGATTCGGAGCCAGCCCGCTGATGCTACGAGAAGACAGAGCCGAAGCAGCCGCGGCGCCCGTGACACCGGGGAAGGGGAGGGAACGGAGCTGCGCTGTCATCCAGCTTCAGAGCCGCATCATGGGCCGGGACCTCCCCGGGCGCGGATCATCTCTATGCCGGTGCCCAGCGCCCATCCCCCGCTAGCCAGCCGGGGACGCGGCTCCGCCGGCCGCCGCACCTGCTCCCGTGGCACCCGGATTCCCGGGGCGGAGCTGGCCGGGGCCCCGCCCGGGCCCGGCTCCCTCTGCACCTGGCTCTGGAGCCCACCGTGTAGCCGAGCCAGAGCTGCTCCTCCCCCTCCTACCGGCGCAGGGTGCAGCTGTAGGGCTCGGGCTGCTGCCTCCCTCCCCCGGGAGCCGGCTTTGTTGGGGGCCGGCCCGGCTGGTTCCTATAGCCACAGACTGTCACAGCAAGTCTCCGCCTCCTGCCTCGCCTGGCCCCGCGGGGGCCACCTTCCTTCCCCCGCCGCTTCTCGCTAGCGTCTGCGGAGCCTGCTGGGTGCGGGGCAGCAGGTGCTTGGCTGCGGACGTAGGAAGGCTTGGGACCGCCCACCCTTTCCTCAGGGCCACCTGGCTGCACTCGGGTGTGGGATACGCCCCTCCCCTCTCCCGCAAACGTAGTTAAGGCAGGCGGAGGCCTTGTACCTCAGACACCTCTGGGAAGCCTCAGGTTCCCGCCCAAATGGGAGGCGGAGGAGAACGATGCAGAGCCAGGTCTCCAGTGCAACTAGCGCTGAGCTCAGGAAGGCAGAGACGGCAGCGGCCCAAGTGACAGAGTCACAGGATTTCCAAGGCTGAGGGGATATTTCAGGGAGCCATGGGACTAACAGAGCCTTGTCTGAAGCACCCAGACAAAGGGCCAGGAAACCATGGACATTTGGGAGGGCGAGGTGTGTAAAAAGGACCCAATTTCCAAGCCTGTGGTGGATGGGTGCTGTAATATTGTTGTGGCAGGGATATAAGTAAAATGCCCCAGAGCACTGGATCGCAATACCTCCAAGGCAAGGGTTAAAATAGAGGGGGCCTGCCCTCTGGGAATCCGTGCTGCAGCAACAGCTTCCAAATAGTGGTTTGGGGTCCTGATGACTAGGCACTTTCTCTTATTTGATTGAGGAGTTGCAAAGGAGGTGGCTGCTGAGGCCCTTGGCTTTAGTGCAGCGGTTCCCAACCTTTTCCAGATGGGGACCCGTTTTAACAATTCAGGAAGACTTGGCGACCCTGGGCAATTCAAAAAATGTGTGAATAGCCCCTTCAGAGCCACCTGGGGAGACATCTGGTGACCCTTTTGAAATGTAGTGGTGACCCATATTTGGGTCCCAACCCATAGGTTGGGAAACCCTGCTTTAGTCAGATCTGTCTGTCCTTTTGTGTTGTAGGACAAGTAGACCAAAGGAGAGTTAACATCCTGATGTGATCCAGGGCTAGTGACTTGGGGCTAAAGCTGCTTGAGTTGGACACAAGATCACAGAGACAGCTTGCTCTTTTTTGGATAAAGACTTTGGCTATGTCTACACTCACGGCTTCTTGCTCAAGCACGGCCATTCTTGCACAAGAATCTGCAGAGCATCCACACTTCCTGCCTGCTCTTGTGCAAGGAAATTTACAGTACGGCGTGGTAAGAGAGGGCTCCTTGCGCAAGAGTTATACTCTCTTTTTATCAGGTGTAAGCCCTCTTGTGCAGGAGCTGTTGTGCAAGAGGGCAAGTGTGGATGCTCGGCAGGGATTTCTTGCGTAAGAAAGCCCTATGGCTAAAATGGCCATCAGAGCTTTCTTGTGCAAGAGTGTCCACACTGCCATGGGAGCTCTTGCACAAAAGCACAGCTCTCACATGGCAGTGTGGATGTTTTCTTGTGCAAGACTTCTTGCACAAGAACCTTTGCACAAGATGTTCTTGCGCAAGAAGCTGCCAGTGTAGACATAGCCTTTGAGAGGTGTCATAGCTGGGATGTTTGCAAGTGGAATTGCCTCTGGGAAGGTTCTGGCCACCTGTGTTTAGTGTGATCAAGTTCTATGCATGTGGCCTGCTGTTTAAGGTAGAAATGGAAGAAACCCGTGCAGTGGAGTTTGCCCAGAGGCCAAGGCCTGGGGCTGCTCTGGTGGAAATAAATCAAGGCTTGAGAAGGAAATAGCACATTCTCTTCTGCTCAGTGACATATATAACAGAGTTGCATGGATTTCAAAGGCTAAGGAGATAACCTAAGGTATCATGGGACTAGCAGACCCTTGGCTGAAGCAGGGAAATGAGCAGGGATTGTAGAGTCCAGGAAAGTTTCTCTGGAAGAGGAGGAGAAATAGTGTGAGAGTGTGGAAGGAAGGATTCTTGAAAACATTGTATCAATGAAGGCGGTCAGGTAGGTTCCCCACCCTCCAACCCTCTCTGTCCTTTCTTTGGCAAAGGAAGTGAATGAAAGCTCGTCAGGAAATGATCTGACAGAGCAGAGACCTGGGAATTTCTTTGATGTACACTAGTGCCCTCAGGGCTCACAGTCTCAATTAGTGCAGACTATTGGTCATGTGCCTTGCTCAGTGCAGGGAGGCAGCTAGTATGAAGGAGAGAAGGAGGTTGGGAAGTGTCCCAGCTTTGCATATCTCAGCAGCACTCACTGCACAGGACTTTTCTGGCCCACTCCCATGAAATTAATGAACTAAGTACAACCAATACAGGTAAAGGGGGCCTGACCATCTTCCATTCACAGTGCTCCCCTGACCAATATAGGTAAAGGGGGCCTTGACCATCTTCCATTCACAGTGCTCCCCAGGCTGCAGATGTGAGGGAAGTGGGGAAACTCAATGCTCAGGTTTCTAAGAGAATTTTGCAGGTGGTAGGAAACAGGAAGCAGAGAGACTAGGGCTAGATTTCAGCAAAAGCAGCCAGCGAGTGATATGGAAACTGCATACATAGGCAGCTTTCTATAAAGAGCTAATCAGCTAAGGAAAAGGATTGGGTGCTGTATATAGAAACCCTGAAGCAAAATCCCATCTAATAAGTAACTAAGAAAGCAAAACCAGGCTCCTGGGCATCAAGCATGGGGGTGGGGGAAGAGAGAAGATGGAAATTGAAGGAGAAATAGGATGCCAGGGAGCATGTTAAATAGCCATTCAGCTTTTCACTATGGAATGGAGAAGGGGTCACTTGAGCCAGGATTTGCATTTCATGTGGTGGCACAAGGGAGCATACAGGTACGCAGCAGAACAAGGCAGATAAGTATCTGGGCTCAGGTGACAAGTCCAAGACTTTGACTTCAGCACCTAATTTTCTGTGAAGGTGCCTGAATAATCCTTAGCTGTTTTCTAACACTTTCCTGCCACCACTTTATAGAGATAGGTGAATATCTGTCTCCCCATATCACAGCAGGTGGGATAGTGATGGAGAGAGTTGATGGGGGACCAAAAGGTTCAAAAACCCAGGTAAGAAGATTCACTGAAGCAAAAAGTGGGTTTGTGGAGAAGTAACTGCATGGCCCCTGGAACAGGAGAGGGGCCATTGTGATGCCAGCACTGGCTCCCTGCATCCAGGTGTCTAGTGCTAGTAAAGGTGATGTTTTGCTAACAGGGAGTTGCAGAATCTCCTGTGTGTGCAGATTAGGTGTCTGAGTGAGAATTAGGCCCTTGGCTGTGTAGAACAGCCGTGTGTCATCACAGCCCAGACAGATACACAGTAGCTCCAGTGGAAAGGATGGTTAGATAGCTAGCCAGGTCATCTTTCAGTGCCTCTGGCCAATACAGGTTGAAAGGGACATGTTGCATTCTCCCTCATAATTACTTCCAAGCACCAATTACTCATGTTCCAATAAAAGGAAACTCTCTTTATTATTAGAGTGGCTGTGGGAGGAGAGCCCCCGAGACATACTCTGGGGCTACGTTCACACTGCAGGCTTTTTGCGCAAGAACTGTTTTGCGCAAGAGTGCATCCACAATGCCATGTGATTTTGCACAAGAGATGTGCTTTTGTACAAGAGCGTCCATGGCAGTGTGGATGCTCTCTTGTGCAAAAAAGCTCTGATGGCCATTTTAGCCATAGGGATTTCTTGCGCAAGAAACCCGTTGCCCATCCACACTGCCTTCTTGCACAAGAGCTCTTGCGCAAGAGGGCTTATTTCTTGTGGGGAGAGGAATAACTTTTGCGCAAGAAGCCCTCTGTTCTGACGCCTTACTGTAAATTTACTTGCACACGAATGCGTGTGCCGTGTAGGCACTCCTCAAGTTTTTGCGCAAGAACAATTGTTCTTGCGCAAAAAGCCTACAGTGTAGACATAGACTGGGGCTGTGTCTACATTGGCACCCTTTTCCGGAAAAGGGATACTAATGAGACAAGTCGGAATTGCCAATGCCGCGGGGGATTTAAATATCCCCCGTGGCATTTGCATGAACATGGCTGCCGCTTTTTTCTGGCTCGGGGCTTTGCCGGAGAAAAGCACCAGTCTAGGTGGGATCTTTTGGAAAATAAAGCTTTTTCCAGAAGATCCCTTATTCCTGATTTTAAGAGGAATAAGGGATCTTCCGGAAAAGGCTTTATTTTCTGAAAGATCCTGTCTAGGCTGGCGCTTTTCTCCGGCAAAGCCCCGAGCCGGAAAAAAAGCGGCAGGCCAGGTTATGCAAAATGCCCGGGGGGGAGTTTAAA